GGGCGATGGGGACCTGGCCCCGCAGCCGTGTGTCCTTCTCCCACCTGGCCGCCTCTTGCTCAAGGTCACTGCAGTAATTCCATATGAGCTGCTGGGTGCTGCTGCCTTATCTCCCGCACAGCTTCTGTTTCACTCCCTTTATATTCCGGGGGGGTTGCGGGGGGATATTGTGTTTGATAAACCCGCAGCTCTTAACCCTGCTGGCAGCTCCAGCCCTGATTACATTCCTCTTATCCCTGCCCCAGCCCATGCTTCCCATCTCTTCCCATTCAGACTTCCCAGGCCATCTCATGGTGGGCAAAGTCCAGCTGGGATCAGGTCTCTGGCCTGGATAAGCAATGTTGGGAGCCTGTCACGCTGGACCTGGGGCTTGTCCTGCCAGGAGACCTGTTGGCAGCAGGAGGAACCATCCTGCTTTCTCCTCCTTGGAGTGCTGGTGGTTGCTGGTGCTTTCCAGGCCGATGGCACCTTTGGAAAACGTGACTTTATCTCCACCTGGGTGTTGGTGGAAAGCAGAGCGCACAGCCAAGTCCTGGAGGACTTTGCTGCTTTGCTGCCCTTGTCCTGCAGGTGTTTCCGTGCCAGGCAGGCAGTGGCACGGCCGTCTGTGCCGTGGGCTCTCCCGGCGGGATCCAAAGGCCGCGCCAACGGGCTGCATTGCGAAAGGGAATCGATGCAGGGAAGCGTCTCCAGAGAAACTTTGCCCGCCCGCGAGCGTGGCGGTGCCAGGCTCCTCTCTGACTCACGGGAGACGTTGCTGGCGGAGCCGTGGGGCGCCTGGCCGCTGGCCCACGGGAGCAGGAGGTGCCGGACTGGTCACACGGGTTGTACGGTAGCGTGGTGGGTGCCGTGCGTGGCTCCTGGGCATGTCAGCACGGCCCAGCTCCGGCAGGACGGAGCACTGTCCAGAGCCAGTGGAGGGCTGGACACGGTGTGACAGGTCCAGGGAGGTACCGGCATCCGAGGTGGGTGGTGGGTGGACACCAATAATCGCTGCCTGCAGACACTGCTGTGTGGGGGAGATACTCCTCTGCCTGCAGGCGTTATCTTGGATGGGGGAAGAATTGCCAGTGAGTTCTGTCGCAGCCGCAGTGGGGGCTCTGGGAGCAGCCCGGCTCCTGGGCCCTGCGGTGCGGCCCTGCCGAGGGAAAGGCAGCTCCTGGCAGCCTCTGCCTCTGCCTCTGCCTTGACTTGGCCCTCAGACAAAATGAGGGTAAACAGTGCCTTTCCACTGTGCAGGGAGGAGGTGAAGATTTAGGACCAGCATGGAGCAGGGGACAGGAGTGTGATGGGCTCACGTGAAGACAGGTCCAGACTGCCCCATGTCACTGCATCTGTGTCAGTGCAGGGCACCCCAAGGATGGGCATTGCCCATGGGGAGGTACCAGGGCAGCTCCTGGCCACACCAGCACCTGCAGCCCCAGCCCTGTGTCTGGGCACAGAGGAGGTTCAAACAGCTTGAGATTTTGGGGAGAGGGGCATTGCATTATCCGTCCTGCTCACTGATCTGGCACTGGCTGTTAGCACCCTGACTTTGCCAGCCTCTTGCTGGAGCAAAATTATCGAATTTGCTGGGAAAACCCATCTGATCAGCTGCCAGCTGAGTGAGTCGCGACAGGCTCTGACTCACGGCGGGGTTTTGTGTTTGCACGACGCATCCTCGGCGGCACTGAGAGCCTTGGGGTGATGACTGGGACAAGCAGGGCTGTGTGCAGCTGCAGGTAGTGCATCTGGGGGCACAGGGGAGCCCCTGGCTGGTGCAAGGTCTGGGAGGGGTCTGAAACCAGCTTTGCTGGGATGGTGGGGCTGAGGCAGCTGGGATCTGGAGGAGGGAGCTGCCATTTTCAAATGGTTACTTTTAGAAGCAGAAGTGCAGGGTAAATTCTTCTCCAAATGTTGCTGAATCTGGAGTCAAACCTTGTGCCGGCTCTGCAGTGCTGGGTATCACTTGCTATGAGGTGTTTTTTCTTGTGACCACTGTGTGTGTCTTTAGGTTAGCGAGCAGTGGCAGCCCCCCAGGGTGCACCTGATACCCCGATGATGGGTGCGTCCACACTGAGAAGTGTCCCTGGTGCCGACCGAGGGCTCTGGGGATGGGTCTCAGTGGCTGGGGCAATGCTGAGGTCTCTGTGTCACTGTTCCCCTGCTGCAGGCGCCGGTGAGGCTGTGGCTGTGATCGCTCATTCCTTCTGCACCGTTGCTGCCTGCCGCTGGCAGGTTTCCGGCACCACACAGCCATGACGACCTCGGCGCTGCGCCGGCAGGTGAAGAACATCGTGCACAACTACTCGGAGGCGGAGATCAAGGTGCGGGAGGCCACCTCCAATGACCCCTGGGGACCCCCCAGCTCCCTGATGTCAGAGATCGCCGACCTCACCTTCAACACGGTGGCCTTCGCCGAGGTCATGGGCATGATCTGGCGGCGGCTGAACGACAGCGGCAAGAACTGGCGTCACGTCTACAAAGCCCTCACCCTCCTGGACTACCTCATCAAAACCGGCTCCGAAAAGGTGACCCACCAGTGCCGGGAGAACCTCTACACCATCCAGACGCTGAAGGACTTCCAGTACGTGGACCGCGATGGCAAGGACCAGGGCATCAACATCCGTGAGAAGGTGAAGCAGGTGATGGCGCTGCTGAAGGACGAGGAGCGGCTGAAGCAGGAGCGGGCGCACGCGCTGCAGACCAAGGAGCGCATGGCCCTGGAGGGCATGGGCAGTGGCAGCCACCAGGTCACCTACGGCCGCCGTGCGTCACCCTACGGCGAGGACTACGGCCGGGCACGGGGCTCGCCCTCCTCCTTCAACTGTGAGTGTTGCTGGTGGCTCGCTCAGGCTCACCTAGTGGGGGCAGGTGTTGCATTAGGTTTGCACCTGCTTGGTGCCCATTGCTCTCCTCTCAGGGTGGGGGTGATGGGGGTGGTGGTGAAGCCCATCTCCATCCTGCACCACGGAGCAGAGATTTGACTCTGTGGTGAACCCCAGCAGCAGAGGCAGCTGGCGGTGCCTCCAGCCTTAAACCCCTGGCTTGTTCATGGTCAGGAGCTCTAACGTGGGGCTATGTGCCCTGGGGAGGCCGGGTGCTGGGATGTGGGCCTGGAGGAGAGGCTGGTGTTGTGCTCCCCCGAATATCCCAGTACTGACACCACCCCCTTTTCATCTTTTATCTCCCAGCATCATCCTCATCCCCACGGTTCGCCTCTGACCTGGAGCAAGCACGGCCCCAGACGACAGGCGAGGAGGAGCTGCAGCTGCAGCTGGCACTGGCCATGAGTCGGGAGGAGGCAGAGAAGGTAGGGTGGCCCTGCCTGTCCTGGGGCACAAGGCATCTCCCTGCACTTTGCCTTATATGTGGGCACAATGACTCAGTTCCCTGGGAGGAGGGAGGAATTTGGGGGCTGCCCGAGGCTGGTGCATGCACCTGCAACCACACCGGGCTGCTCGCGTTGTGCCTGGCATCCAAAATCACCAGCAGGCAGATGGAGGCATGGGCTGCTCCTGCTCCCTGTCCTCATACCAGAGAGGACAGCACCACGTGGGGATCTGTCCAGCCTCCCAAACCCCAGAGTGAACGTGGGGACTCTACTGGGTTTGCCACAACCGCCCTCCACCTGGCTGCCCTCTTTTGTCGAGGGTTTTTGCTCTAAGCTCCCCCATTTCTCTTGCCTTCCCACAGAGGTTTTAGGGGGCAAAGCCTTGCCCTGCAGTTTATGTGGTGGATGTGGGGCCAGCAGCACCCTCACTGGGCTGGAAACTTGGTCCTACTATCTGGTCCTTTCAAACTGGGATAGAAAGAGCACTGGGAAACAGCCCCAGGAGGAGCCCAGCAGGTATGCAGGCAACAAGTGAGCTGCTGCCCCAGAGTGAAACCACCCCAGGCTGTCCCCTCTCCTGTCTGGTGGCCACAGCCCCTTTTCCACCAGGGACAGGATTATTTGCACACCGGCTGGCATGGCCCACACAGAGCCTGTGGGTACAGCCAGCACACACAGTCAGAGGGACATGGGACCAAGGGACATCCCCTGGAGCTGGCACCCAGCACCACGAGCTCAGTCCTGCCGGGCAGGGGACATGCTCTGGAGACAGCGCTTGCTGCTGCCCGTCTTCCCTGCCCAATGGAGGCTCTTTTGGAGACAGAGCAGGGCGTGTATCCCTATTTTTGTCCTGGAATTGGAGTATTTATAGCTTCCTCACACTGCTGCGATGAGCACTGTAGGAACACGCTCTGGAAAGCGCTGCCTGTTGGAGTCCATCTGGGCTGCACACGCATGTGCACACGTGTACAGATGTACACACACAGGCACCCCCACTGGGGTCCCCATTCCCAGCCCCAGTGGGTCCCACACTGCTGGACAAGTGTCACAGGGGGGTGATCAGGGCCACCATGGTGGTACAGGGACAGCCTCTCCCCAAAGTCTGCCTCAGGTCTGGGTGCAGGGCTGCAGGATTCCCAAACTGAAGCCAGTCAGTGTCACAAACTCTTCTCCCCAGCAGACTGCCAGGGCAAAGGGGTGCCTAGTTCATCCCTCCACTGACTTCATCAGGGTCCCTGAAAACCTCTCAGGGAAGATGCTGGCTGCCTAATTTAGGGTCATCCCAGCCTCAATGCTGAGGCAGGTAATGGGGTCAGGGAAAGAGGTGGTCAGGGGCCACAGGGAGCCTGAGCAGGAGCTGGTTAGAGAGCACAGGGACACTGGGCTGGGGGTCCGCAGGCAAGGCCAGCTGGATGGGCACAGATGTTGTGCAGGCAGGCAAGGGGCTGCAGGAGAGGCGGTGGCAAGGTCAGGGACCTCCGAGCAGTCCTACGAGCTGAGGGCAAGCTGAAATGTCACCCAATTTCCTCTGTTGGCAGAAGCCACTTCCAATTTCCAGTACAGACGAAGAAAGGCAATTGCAGCTCGCGCTCGCGCTGAGCAAAGAGGAGCACGAGAAGGTACCTGTGTCCTGCAGTCCTGGCGCTCCGCTCTCCTTGCACTTGGGCTTCTCTCTGGGGTGCTGGAGCCCAAAACAACACCTTGCTCCAGTGCCCGCTTTGCTTTCCCTGCTCTGGGCTGTCTGCTGAGTGCTCTCCTGGTGGGCTCAGCCCTGAGGGAGCTGTCTGCTCGGATGCTGGGACTTTTCGGGGATGTGGTGGCAGCTCCTGTGCTGGTCTGTCTTCTGGAGAAGGTGCTGGCTGAAGGGTTGCTGAGCTCACAGACCCCATCCCTTCTCCCTGCAGGAGGTGAGGACTTGGCAAGGGGAGAACTCCCTGCAGCAGAGAGCCGTGGAGGAGACTGCCCAGGGCAGGGAGGAAGAGCAAGAAGAAGATAAGATGAAGAAAAGCCAGGTACAGCACTGGGGGCTGGATGGCCACAGAGCCTGCTATCGGCTCCAGGGCAATCCCACAGGTCTGCCTCAGGCTTCCCTCACCTCTTTATTCCCTTTCTGTTTGCAGTCCTCTATCCTGGAGCTGGCAGATATATTCGGACCAGCGCCAGCACCCTCCAGCCACGCGTCTGCTGACCCGTGGGATGTGCCAGGTGAGGGCAACTCGCAGACTGCCAAAATTCGGGACAGTATCAGAAACCTGTCCCTTGCCTCTGTTCCTCCCCAGTCCCCAGTAGCTCAACAGTGAAGACCTCTGGGTTCTCCTCCGTTGTACGCATGGGTGTTGCTGCTGGAAGTCATGGCCCTCGGGGCACATCCCTGCCACTCAGCATCCCTCTGTGCCCTGCACTGTTCCCCTGTCCCACAGCTTCCCTTCTTCTTGCAGATATGAAAGCCAAAGCGGAGCCGGTGGCCTCTGCCTGGGCCGGTGCAGCAGATCCCTGGGTGCCAGTCCCGGACACCAGTGGGGAGCCCCTCTCCCAGGCGAGTGCCTCAGCCCAGCAAACATCTGCCGGGCCCTGGGATTTTCCACCCAGCACCACTGCAGCCTCCGACCCCTGGGGGAAGGCACCCGTTTCTTCTGGCTTCCCTCCTGCTGACCCTTGGGGGACAGCATCACCCCCAGCCCCTCAGGGCTCCGGTTCCACTCCAGCTCCTGACCCTTGGGCTGCTGTGCCCGAGCAACCTCCGAACGCTGGTAAGAGGCTTGATGGACCTTTTGGCTTTGCTGGGGATTCTGGACAGCCCTGAGCATCGCTACCCTCCTGCGAGTGGGCATCTCGGCGCTCTGCCCCCATCCTCCTGCAGCCAGCTCCCCAAACACCCCCTGCCCGCTCTCCTGCCCCGCAGCAGGACCTCTGCTCACCCCTCAGCATCCTGAAGACTTCAAGGAACTTTTAGGCTCTGTCTCTGCACAGAATAGGCTGTTTTAATTAACACGGCAGTTAACGGAGCCCTCCCGTGGGAGCGGATGGCAGCCACCACGCCACTCCAGCAGCAGGTTGATGGTGTGTCCCGTCGGTGATACCTGTTTGCTCACCCCAAACCACCCCTGCACACCACGCCAGGACCAGACGGGACGGTTGCTGGTCGCAGGTGCCACGTTGCAGATGGGGAGGCAACTGTAGGAGCAGCCTGTGTTTCGGAGCTCAGTGCCACTCTCAGTTCCTCCTTGGTGCTTCCTCCAGCCCCGTGCAGGTCCTGTGTGTCCTGTCCCCAGTTTCGGTCCCTGGTGAGGGGCACAGAACCTGCTTTGAGGGCCAGTGCTGGTTTCTAAAGCATTTTTGCAGACCTGTCCCCTGCCCTGGGAAAGGGACCA